GTCTGTTTATGTAATCATTTATGTTTTTTATGACCTAAAATGTGCTAATTTTCACATTAACTAACATTATTATGATTATTTTTACCTTTTCCAGTCGTTGTTTCAGTGTCAGAGCAACACAAGCAGAGTTTTTACAGCAGATTTCACACAAGCAGCAAAATAAAAAAATCAATTTTATGATTTAAATAAGTGGAGATGTGAGAAAACAGCTGTTTTTTGGGCTTATTTTGTGGTTTTATTTTGGTGAGTTTGGAGCAAACGGAGAAATAAAAATCATGTAACACCGACTTTTTAGCTTTTACAGTAATTCTCATGTTAAAATGATTAAAGTGACGTTTCTGAATTAACTAAAGTAAATGCAGTGTTTTTCTACTGTATCATTACATCACATGACTAAAGGCGATTTCCATTTGCACCAATCATTACCTCTGCCTCCCACTGATTGATCTACGTTTTGCCCGTATATTAAAAAGCGATGATCCCCTGTGAGAGTTTGTCCTTTTCACCGAAGGTCACCGCCGACATCCCTTCGGTCAATACTTTCTCTGGAGACGCTGATTAGGGCGAATCGCGTTTTAAGCTGAGATTTATCAGCGGGACGTTTTGTGAGCAAGTTGAGCAAGTTTCCTGGGCGGCGTCTCATCAGCTGGACTATAATTAGCTCCTTAATGGACACGTCTTCTTCTTCTTCTTCACCACATTTATGGATTTATGTCAACGTCCGGCACATCGACAAGAAAAGTCTGAAAAACTGACTGGAGTTGGGTTAAAAAAAATATGAGTTAATGAAAAAGTAAAGACCTGTCAGCCGGTCAATCAGTTTGGCTCTAAGGCGACAGTGTTGGTCGCTACTTCTGATGAGCTGGATGAAGTTTTCTACAGACATTAATGGTTCCCAGAGGATAAACCGAGATGGATTTTATACACTCCTGACATTTATCTTGCACCACCAGCAGGTCATGTTGTCTGCCTATCCTGTCAAATATCTCAACATCTAATGGTTCCCAATTCTATGCAGTCGTTCATGGTACCCAGAGGATAAACCATTTTGTACAGATATTCATGGTTCCCAGAGGTTTAACCATGATGGCTTTTATAAACCCCTGACATTTATCTTTCACCACCAGCAGGTCATGCTGTATGCTTATCCTGTCAAATATCTCAACATCTAATGGTTCCCAGTTCTATGCAGTCGTTCATGGTCCCCCGAGGATAAACCATGATGTCTTTCATAACCTCCTGACATTTCCCTAGCACCACCAGCAGTTCATGTTGTATACTTAGTCAGTCTGTGAAATATCTCAACACCTTATGGTCCACAATTTTATACAGACATTGATGGTATCCAGAGGATAAACCATGATGGCATTTGTGATCTCTTGACATTCTCAAACACCACCAGCAGGCGGAGCTTTTTATTTATTCTGTGAAACATCTCAGTATCTCATGGTTCCCAATTTTGTACAGACATTCATGTTCCCTAGAGGTTAAACTATGATGACTTTTATAGACTCCTGACATTTCTGTAGCACCACCAGCAGGCCATGTTATGTACTCAGTCTGTGAAATCTCTCAACATCTTGGGGTTCACAATTTTATACAGACATTTGAGGTTCCTCGAGGATGAACCACTGTGACTTTGTTGATCTCTGGACATTTAGCACCACCAGCAGCAATGGACAAAAAAATCATGCTAGCTTGCAAATTGAACGTCCTGGTATTTTTGGCACACGTACTGTGTATCGGGACATGCTGCGTCTTTAGCTGTAGTACAGATATTGTAACGCACCTTAAGATTGCAGAACATTATACCTGTGTAGCATTAGCATGTTAGCATGGACAGTGTTAGCATGCTAATGTTAAAATGCAGTTGAGCGCTCTGCTTGGTTTACATGTTCTGATGCAGCAGACAGGTTTCTGCTTTAACTCATGCAGGATTTTCACTGATGCTACATCTGCAGAGTCTATAGTTTTACAGTATATGATCTTTTTATGCACATGAAATGGAAACTTGCTAAACTGCAGATTAGACAGAATCAATACAGTCTGTGTCTGAAAGCGTCTGCAGGCTGTTACATGAAACTGATCAATCCAGCCAAGGTCTCATTGCTTTTTCATTTACAATGGCTTTAGTTTTTTCTGCATTGTGTACATTTAGCTAAGGAGGATCAGCAAGAGAAGCATTTCACTGCACAGTCTGTCTGGTTTTCTGTGCGTATGACAACAAAACTCTTGAATTTTGAATTTTTAAGCTACGCTATACAATCCATCCACAAAGAATTTTTAAAAATAAGCAATCAATACATTGCTTCAAATTCTTGTGTATGGTACCTTTTACCAACAAAACAAAAACAAAAAAACATTGAAAATTATCAACCAGACACTAAATACAAACATCTGGAAAGTTGTATTTACTTTTTAGCATGACTTTACATCTATAATGTGAATTCTGAAATCATCGCTGCTTTGGAAAATGGGTGACGCTATACAAAACACAACACCATAAACACAGTGAATAATGCACTAAATAAGAATAATATCGGGGTGTCTCAGTGTAAAATAACAACATCTGGAGTCAGCACCTTTAATTAACTTTGCCGACCATTGATTTCCTTCCAGCTTCATAAACAACACGTCCAGAGCTGAGATTTCTTGTTTTGTTTTTCAGCGTTATTGATTCAATGCTCACAAGAATCAGAACAAAGAAACCCTTTTGTTATTGACTTATTCATTTCTTTTTTTCTCCTGGACAATGAGAACCGCTGCACCTGCAGCGATGAATGCAGCCGCATGTTTTCTCGGCACAGAACTGAATTTACAGAGTTTTTTCCTACAAAGGATTGGACCTTGAAAAACAAGACAGACGCTGTTACACAACCAAGACAAAAAGCAAAACCTTGAGAAATCGTGACTTTCACACTGTGTGACGTATGCGTGTTGGATGTTGTGCAAGACGGTTGGTTTTTACTGCAACTGTAAAGCAAAGACATTAAACGCTGCTTCATGTTTTGTTTTGTTCTGCGTGTAAAAGCATCAGCCGGAGCAAAGCTGCAGAAGATTAGCATCTGTCTGTGCAGCTCCTCTCAGCTCCTTCATTGCAATTTTAATTTTATTAAGGGTAAAATGTGTCAAAAAATATCATTAAAAATTTAATATTTAGCCGTAATAAAACACATCATCATTAAAATACTTTTTTTTTCAGTGTAAAAATGCACATATCCACTAAAATTGGGTCTTTTGTTGTTGTTTTTTTGCATATTTATTCAGCCTTAATTCCAGAGTTGTGTACTGAAATATTCCAATATTCACATTATATTTCTGAACATCACAGTAAGAATTAAATACAATCCAAGACATCTGATACATAAAAATAAAAAGCTGAATATATAACTGCTTTAGTCTACATTTTTAGTTTTTCTTTTCTTTACTTGACTAAAACTTTTTTTTTTTTGAACGTCTTTACATCCTAGTTTTTGTTTTATTTTATGTTTTTAGCAGTCAAAATCTTAGAAATGAACTGTACCATTCTTTAGCCCCGTAATACCAGATTTATATTTATATTTTAGCATCAGAATAACTAAAACATCCAGCAGCTGCAGAGCCAGATGTTTTCCTCCAGAGCTGGTGGAGACCAAAGCAGAGCACAAAGAGCTTTAATACTGGATTTATACTCACGAGGTGACTGCAGATGAAGGTCAGTCTCTTAAATATTCTGATATTCTGATTTTATTTAATCATCAGTAACTGAAATTAGCTCCACCTTCACCAGTTGTGGCATTAAAATGCTGCTTATGTGCAAATTTGTTATAAAAAATTTAATAAAATACAGTATACGATACGTCTGATGATATACCTAAAAAACTACATTTGACTGATAATACTTTTTTTTAACTTGATTAAAGTTTGGACGTTTTCTAGGAGCTGTATTTTTCTTATGATTAATATAATTTAAAATATATTTACATGAGCTTTTCTTCCAGTGCTGGCGTAAATAATTATTTATAATTTCAAAAAAAAAAAAAACAGCCACCGGACACAATAATCTGGGGGGGAAATATTGATTTATTAAATTTACCTGCATAGCATTAATTAAAACCAAGCCTGCTTTGTGAAATGGATTAAAATTGTTTATTTTTTAACAAAAAAATGAGTTAAACTTGTAAAAATAATTATTTGTTTACAAGTAGCTAACTCTGGAAAACACAATAAATACTCAATTTCAAAAGAGAAATATTTGTGTGACTATCCTAAAGGGAAGCTACCACATGTTTAAAGTACTACTAATTATTTATAATATATATTTACACATATAAATCATTATTCACACAACCTCTCTGCCCTCATATGTACATTAATGTCTCGATAACTCTGGGTATTAATTTCATTACATTTTCATTTTAATATCAGCAAAACTAGAACATCTTGCAGCAGAAGCTTAAACAGCATCAGTCCTCATCGTTTTCCTCCTTCTGAGCTGCTGCAATGTCTGAATTTCCCCGGTGAGGTGTGAATAAACTCCATCTTTAATATTGGATTGAAGTTAATCAGGTGAGTCCTGATTCTGAGTCTCTGGATGTGCCTCTGCACAGGAACACGACACTATGGAACATTTAATCTGTGATTACGCTCAAACTGAAACCAGATGCACGACCGTGTGCGTTTAATGTCGCCTCAAATGTTGCAACAAGTTTAATTCATGTTGAAACGTCCATTCATGCGTCAGGCAGACCTCTGCTCCTCCTCCCACCTCTCCCAGCTCGCCGATTGGACGGCAGCCTTCGGGGGTGTGTGTTTGTATTTGTGTGTGTGTTCTGGTATAATAGCAGAGAGGGAGTAAGAGAGGGAGGGAAGACCACGGCAGCGTTACCAAGTGATGATCTGCATTTAGTCTCACATCGAGCTGCTGCCACTCGCCGATAAGCAGCCTGGCATCATCCTCCTCCTCCTCCTCCTCCTCCTCCTCCTCCTCGCCGCCTCACTTCTTCTTCACACTCGGGGGAACGTTTGTTTTAACTTCTGACCGGCCGCCCTGCAGAGAGGAGCGATGAGAGCAGAGCGGCGGCGGCGTCTTTGGTTGAGACAAAAAGCAGATGTTTGAAGAAAAAAAGAGGGAAGGTTTGCTTTTCATGCCTCTGCAAGGACTCCGGGGCTGTCCACCTGATGATGAGGTCGATTCAAAGCCGCGCACGCTGAGATTTAAAACTACATGGACTCATAACAACGGAAAGGAGAAGAATTAACCCCCAGGAGTCAGTATGAACACCACAGACCACCATGGACTGATCCAGAGCTACCAGAACAGGAGCCAGACCTCTCTGACACTTAACAAAGACTTGGCGGGAGAGGAGAAGGACTCTTCTGCAGGATGCTACGAGCAGCTGCTGATCTCCACCGAGGTGTTCCTCACGCTGGGCATCGTCAGCCTGCTGGAGAACATCCTGGTGGTCGCCGCCATCGTCAAGAACAAGAACCTTCACTCGCCCATGTACTTCTTCATCTGCAGCCTGGCGGTCGCCGACATGCTGGTGAGCGTCTCCAACGCCTCGGAGACCATCGTCATCGCGCTCATCAACGGAGGCAACCTCACCATCCCCGTCACGCTCATCAAGAGCATGGACAACGTGTTTGACTCCATGATCTGCAGCTCCCTGCTGGCGTCCATCTGCAGCCTGCTGGCGATCGCCGTCGACCGCTACATCACCATCTTCTACGCGCTGCGGTACCACAACATCGTGACGCTGCGGCGGGCGATGCTGGTGATCAGCAGCATCTGGACGTGCTGCACGGTGTCCGGCATCCTCTTCATCATCTACTCCGAGAGCACCACGGTGCTCATCTGCCTCATCACCATGTTCTTCACCATGCTGGTGCTCATGGCGTCGCTCTACGTGCACATGTTCCTGCTGGCCCGGCTGCACATGAAGCGGATCGCGGCGCTGCCCGGCAACGCGCCCATCCAGCAGCGCGCCAACATGAAGGGCGCCATCACCCTCACCATCCTGCTGGGCGTGTTCGTGGTGTGCTGGGCGCCCTTCTTCCTCCACCTCATCCTCATGATCACCTGCCCCAGGAACCCCTACTGCACCTGCTTCATGTCCCACTTCAACATGTACCTCATCCTCATCATGTGCAACTCCGTCATCGACCCCATCATCTACGCCTTTCGCAGCCAGGAGATGAGGAAGACCTTCAAAGAGATTTTCTGCTGCTCCCACGCTCTCCTGTGTGTGTGAGCCGAGTGTAAAAAGCGTCGAGCTGCAAACCCCGAAATCAAACTTGGCGAGCGGAGACTTTGATGTTTTCTCGAGCAGTAATCACTGTGGACTCGCTGCAGCGCTCCTGCGCTCTCGGCTGTAAATGATTGACTAGTCGGGCGCTCGCCTCTGGTTTCGGTTGCTCCGGAGGTAGGTTTACAAACACCCTGTAACATAGAGTGTCGCTCTGCTTCGTTTTTTTTCAAGTGAACGCTGCTCTCAAGTGCCATTTGAAGTAAATGTGACCAGCATGTACATAAACCAGCAGTCCAACTCTGGTGTCTCACTCTGAAATCTTTCCTTCGTTGTTGGAGAAATCAAATAAAAAAAGAGACACATGTTTATTTGGAACAACTTTCTGCATGTAGAAGGTTTGTGGCACTGAATCGTCCCTGCAGCACAGTTTCACATGAACTCTTTACTGTTGCTGCATCTGTAGATTTAGTCAGAAAAGATGGTGAAAGGTGTGTTTTCTAAAGCCCCAGGGGACAAATGTTTTGTCCTAAACCCAAAGACATTCGATTTACTTTCACAGAAGAGGCAGAAGGAAACTGGAAAATGTTCAAATTTCAAAGCTCAAATGAGAGAATTTTGACTTTTTAACCCATTAATGGCTCAACTTACTCTGTACTGGACGTCCAACGAAGAGATTAACCTGATATCTGACAGACTACCTCCATGGTTAAGAGTCCAATCCTCCTCATTACAGACACCTCGCACACTGACAGATAACACATCCACGGCTTGTACTCGTTTTCTTTGCAATGAATGTAAAAAAAAAAAAAAGTCTGATATTCACTTTTCCTGTGATGATATAAAAGCCATAACGCCTCGCTGAGTTCCCCTGTGTATTATGTGCCAATTACGACATAGGAGATGAAGGGAAACCTCCTGCTCACCTAAAGTGTTTTCTACCAAAGAGGTGTTTTACTGGAGAAACAATCAGCGTTGGATTCTCGCCTCGAACAGACGAGAGAGGTGATTTTCTGACGCCGCTCCGATGAGATTATTCTGGAAACCAAGAGCACAAAGCGTCGCCACATCCCTGCTCATCTGCCGTTCGCTCCTCGTGTGCTTTGCGACGCCTCAGCGCAGAGATTTATTGGATTAAATGTTGTAAAATCACTCCGTGGGTCGGAGAGGTGAAGGACACGACAGCATTCACACAGGATGGACTGAAAAACAGACTCAGCAGACGGCTTCACAAACTTCATGTATTTCTGGGTTTTGATGATTTTTTTTTTACCTTATTTGCACCAACTCCCTGTAGTGTGCTTTTACCAGCTCCATGGTTTTGCACCCGATGTGATCAGCTTTTTTTGTAGACCCTCTCCTCTGATTTCAACTTATAAATGGTTTTCCTGTGAGCAAAAAAAAAAAAAAAAGAAGCCAAATCGAAGCCACCCATCCCGTCCCATCTGTCGGTTTGCGATCGACGCTCTCGTGAACTTGTGGTCTGTGTAGATATTCTGTGTGAACTTTGCACATGTGGGTTGTTCCGACTCTCCACGATGTACATGTGACTGTAAAGAAATCTATTTTTCATCCTGTTCATGTGAAAGGGCAGACTTTACTGAATGTATTTTTATGTGACACGTGCTGTGTGACTCGTTGCTTTTGATCTTGGCCTTAAATATGTTGCACTGTGACGTAAAGAGCAACCGTATCCTCTGTGACAGTTCCTTCACCGACTGACGTGATCGGTTTTATTTTCTATGTAGTTAGATGCTATTTTCAATATTGCCTTATTTATTTATGCCTCTGTAAACTTGAAGCTCGTCCCCAAGCTCACGGAGATGCACAAAAACGTCCGACTCCTCTGTCAACAGCTTCGCCTGGACTTTGATTCATGTGTGTGCCAAATATCACTGCATCCAATGTGAACCACTGCTGCACAGTAACTTCAATAAATCATGTTTCCACCTCAGCCGCTGCTCTGTTTGTCAGCGTTTCTCTGGAGTTCAGACTTTAACCTCTACGCAATGACCGGCGTATTGATTTGTCACCTTTAAAAAAAAAACAGCTAAAAACAAGCATGTGAAGCGAAGACTTTTCAGGGCGTTCCGGCGCCTACGTGAGCTATAAGAAGCTGTAATGTGGAACAGTTTGTTCCTCGAGGTCAGAAGTTCTCGTGCTGCAAAGGTTCCCACGGGGCGGCAAACTGTAAACAGAACATAACCTCTCAAGGGTTTAGTTTGCAGAATTGAACAGCACTCGATGCTGCTGCTGCGGGAGTATCAGTGTGACAGATGGAGTTCATTCCAGATGTAATCACATCTTGATAGACTTTTAGGTTACGCAACTGGGTGGAAGTAATTTAAGGGACATTTTGGAGGAAAAAAAAGCGACATTCTGGCCGTATATCACTGGAGATGCAGCTCTGACACATGAAACGGTTCACTCTGTATGTTTACGCAGCAAGGATTCTATCAGCGGAGTGGAAAAAATTGTAAAGAAGCAGTGACTCAGCTGTTTTTATTCATCTCCCGTCTCGTATCAGATCATTCAGTTTCTTCCACTTTCATTTATTTTAAAATAGATTTTCGTCGCGGCACAAAGGAGGGGAATGGCAGCGGCACAGTGGGTGTTCTTGCCCCAGGTTAGGAAATGCAATTGGATTCTTTCAGGCTACGAGTCATTTAAAAAAATTCCTCTCAAACAACTGAAAGAGGTTCAGTGTTACGTAAGATTAGCGTGTCTGATGTTGGACTGCAGGAGTTTTAAGCCCATTTTCATCCATTTCATCCCTTTAGACAAACAGAGGAGACATTTGGCCGGAGATCTTGGACTAAACTGCTGTTTGATCCAGATTATCGGGCAAGATGAGAGATCCACTTTAAAGCTTAAAGGCTCAATATCAAGCACCTTTAATATTTAGGAGTTCAAATCTGGATGCAGCCGACTCTGAACATTCTCGCCCTTGTGGCTAGCAGCAGATATTAAAAAATGCTGTTAAAAATCATCTCAAGTTCTCTCTGGTAAGCACAAAAAACCCCACATTAGCAGCATCTTCTCGAGCATCCAGAATCTAGCACAAGCACTATTAGCGTTCCAACAACACTCCACTTCATTTACATCTGTTTCCCTGTGAAATCACACGAGGTGGGCTGCTCCGACTGCTCCCTCCAGCACCACAATCCTAATAATATCTGTGGTTTGTAGGGCTGCAGCTAAACAGCTATTCAGCTCTGTTGAAACAGATAGTCCTTTATTTATCCCATAGGGGGGAAGTTTGCCGGGTTACAGCAGCAAAGGCGACGGCGGAAAATGTAAAGAGCATCGATAAAAAAAACAACATACATACGTAAAAACTGGCTTCTCTGAATATAAATCAAACAACAACAATATTGCGCAGGATTTTTGTCGAAGCAGAAAAACATCGGAATGCACAGATTCCTCAGCGAGTAGAAAATAATCGGCTATTATCAACTACAGCGCGTCTAAGTGGCTCTTAACAACAGTAAAGATGCTGCTTGAGTGCTTCTGCATGTGGGTGTTTGTGAGAACTGCAGTTTTCAACTCCCAACTTTATTATATTGTTCTGAAAAGCTCTTAAATGAGGTTGTGGATACAAGCAACTGAAGGAGACTCCTGCGTAGGGTGGTCGGGCTCAAGGTTAGAGATCGGACAGGGTTTATTCTAGACGTAGGAAACCTTAAGGATCGGATGGGGAGCTCGGATATCTGGAGGGAACTCGGAGTCGCTGCTTCTTCCCGTCACAAGGAGCCAGCTGAGGTGGTAAGGACGCCTACTGGGAGACTTTCTTTGGAGGGCAAGTGGGAGGAGACCTAGAGCTAGAGTTCGCTGCAGTTATGTATCTTATCTGGCCTGGGAACGTCTTATGTATACCTCAGGAGGAACTGGAATGACCGGTTTCGCCTTCTGCCACCGTGACCCGGCCCCAGATTAGCGGAAGAAATGGAAGGACGGATTGATAAAAAGTTGGTAAACCCAGTATGACAGGCTACAGCTAGAGCTAGTAAAGAGACAGCACTAAGTTTGGGTCATATAGTTTCTTGATAACTGACTGACATGTTTAGTGGTGGTGCTTCATCAGCCCGACACCAGGCCAACGATGTTGACTCGGTGGAGCCTCGAATGTTGGATGTTGCTGGTGAGCTGACAACCATCATATCAACTACCAACCACTGTAACTGTAGTTTAAAGGTCCCATGTGGTGAAAATCCTTTTTTGTTATAAACACAGAGATCTTTCAAGCCAGTAAGAATTCAACCGTGATGCTACCTCACACCGAACTAATAAGTAATCATCAACCTCATACTTTGGACTTTGGTCAGCTGTTTCTCTCTGCACTTCAATCCCCAGATGCAGAGAGTGTTTTCTTCCTGAAGGGGGGCATGGACCCCAGCAGTTGATTGGTTTTCAGAGCAAACAGCCCTTTTCAAACAGGGCTACAACCAGGGATTTTACATTCATGGCAAAATGAATCGTCTTTGCAGTAGTTTGAGATGAAAAACTGGAAGCCTTTTTTGCTAAAATTTGCTGAAAATGGCCCCAATGTGAGACATTTAAAGACTTTTTCCTCAACACTTAGTCCCAACAGTGGTCGACTTTTAGCAAGTGATCAGTTTCGAGAGGAGTTGTCACATTGTCGGCTCCTCATTTGCATAAAGCTGGAGGTCGAGGCTACTTTATGCAAATCAGACGCATCCAGTGGCCACTCAGCACCTCTGTAAACGTCAGAAAAACTTCAGCTAACTGTCTACAAATGAAGACAGATTCAGCAACAGCATGGCTTGTTTCTCCCCTCAAATGTTTCCAGAAACAAATTTTGGTGAACTGTTTTTGTGATGGGCTGCAGGGTGGCTCAGTGGTTAGGATCGTTGGCGGTTCGTGTACCAGTGAGGACACCCGGGATCCTTCTGTGTGGAGTCTCCATGTTCTCCCTGTGCAGCGTGGGTTCTCTCCGGGTTCTCCGGCTTCCTCCCACAGTCCAAAAATATGACTCCAGCCCCCCACAACCCTCGTGAGGATTAAGCAGTGTATAGATGATAGATGGACAGACAGATGGACGGATGGATGGATGGATGGGTGGGTGGACGGATGTTATTGTGATCTAAACTAGCCGCCATGTTGGTTCAGATTTAGATCCAGGAGCAGACGACCTACGAGGGAAGCGTTCATCCAGTCTGCAGCATCCAAAAATGCCAAAACGTCTGGACATCTACCATGAGGCCCGGCAGGCTGCAGGGATTCTCAGTTCTCCTGCTGTATTTCTGTGCTGAGATCATCACTAAACTGTATATAAACCATACTTTCATAAAATCACATCAGGCAATGATTACCTTCACTCCAGTAAATGTTAACACCTTCATTGTCAGTGCAAAAAGCTTACACGATAATGTCACCAACTAATCTGCAATTAAGCCTTTTAGCAGCTAATTTGGTCATCGATTTCTGTCGACGCCACAGTAATATGTCGTTATTTTCCAATCTCGTTGGCCGTGCGTGTCTGAGATTATGGAGAAGCACATCTGGGAAGTTTCTCCTCATAAAGCAATTCAATTTAAAAAATCTGTTTGGACTAAATACCATCCAGACATAGGAAATGTCTCTTAGATTTATATAATGAGAAAGTGTTTATGGTGGAGAGAGATCACAGTTCAGATATTTCCCCTCTTACTGTCATTTTCTGCTGACAGCTGAACACGCCTGGTGTACCGTATAACAATCAGCCGTTACATAAAGTAGCATAAAATAGACTTGAGCTAACCTTTCCTGCTCTTCTCTTCTATCACATACCGACAAAACAGTGGGTGTTTTATGCAATGACACAAGTTAGGACTGTGCGTTCCTTTTGGGGGAACATGTAAAGTTTCGGGCTCCTTTGTGTGTCAAAGTAGCTCAACCACTCAGCGATGCACGGCTGGAAATCGAGTCTTCTGTCGGCTACAAAAACCGCATGAAAGGCGCGTTCGCCGCACAATTTTGCTTTTCTTGGCTTTCTGTTCTGCATTCAGTTTACCTACTTGTTATTGTGGGACAGACGCAGAGATCTGGGGGAGCTTTTTTCAAAAAGAAAACATGTCTTTAGGAAGACTCATAGAAATGCAGCTCATGCCGGCGGATTGAGAGGTTTTGCTTTAACTCTCAGCCACCTTTGGTTTTTTGTTGTTTTTTTTTTTTACTAAAAAGCTTCGTTTCCTGCAGTGTTTGACAAATATGTGCTCCTATAGACGACAGACAGTTCTGCCGTGTTTGCAAAGTAAAACTTGTTGCTGCGGTGTTGTCGGTTTACACAGTCTGGATCGTGGCGCTTTGTGCTTTCAAAGAATTAATAGTTTCAGTTTTCATTCCAAATAGAGCAGCAGGATTTTCAGTGGGTTCAATTATTTCGTCTCGCAAAGCCAGACAGAAGTTTCCAGCGATGCGAGTGACCCTGAGTGGCAGCGGAGCTCATGATACAACAAAGACAAGTAAACAGCCGAGTGAGTGAACATGGACCGGCTTGTCATCTGGTCACACAAAGAACACTTTTACCCTTTGTGACTGTCTTTCTATTCAGCTAAACGATATTTTCGGTATTATTTGCTTGGTTCTTTCACTGAATTAGCCTTTTTAATGGCAGATCTCGCCTCCCTGTGTTTAAATGTTCCACCACATCGAGTTTCCCCTTGACGCTATTGGGCAGGGGGCACCGTCACTGCATCCTGGGCTGAGCTCCGCCCGGGGGGATTGTGATTGGTTTCATTGTTTTTTTAAAAATTTATCAAGGTCCCCTTTTGTAACAATGCAATGCAAACTCAGAAGTCTTTTTCATATATGTATAGATATATATTAGTAGTAGGTTACAACTGCATTTTTATAAAATAGCAATATTTGACACAATAAGCAAAGTTTTGGTTGACGACTGAATCAATGACTAAACATACATGAACTTAAACAACAAAATTGCTTAGTTTTCAT